AATAATTATTATTAAATAATTAGTACTTAGGGGTTATTATTTTGGCACTTTGACACCGCGTACCGCACGTCCTTCACGTTCTTTATTTTTCTATTTGGATTTTGATTGAAACATTTCTCCAAAACGGACTGCACACAGTAGTACCAAACGGATATAACACTTTTTATGTTCTTCTATGAACTAAAACTACCATTACCCAATCAGGTCTGAGCTATCCACGGCCAGATTTTGTTGTTGTTGAATTATACGCTGTTGAATTAAATTATAAGTATTAAAACATATGTACAATGTAGCCTGAATTTGGCTAACCAATAATTTCAGTTTTCACACAATTATTATAAAATATTTGTTAATGTCCACTAAAATGCTTTTCCAATTTTTAGAGTATAGAAATACGAAAAAAACAACATTTATTTTGCTCATCGGGAACCATTTTACAGTTTATGTATTTCTGGAAGTTCCATGGCAATTCTGTGCATCCCTTCCACTGAAAATTTTTATATTCCATCCATTCTTTGAAAATTGTTCGAAAACCTTCATTGAGATGAGTACATCAATAATTAACAAACAATAGTTACCACCGTTCACTTGAGACCCTTGGCAATTAATATTATTAAATTTATTTGAATGAAAAACAAATTAAAATAAAATAATATTAACATACAATTAAATATTCAAATAATAATATTTGTTATTTTATCGAAAAATAAGAATATTTCTGAAATATATAATTATAAGACTTATAATTATATATTTATAATAAAAATGATTTTCATAAATCAGTCCGTTCCGGTTTGTAAGCCTATAAGCTTATTTTTTTTTTTTAAAGTCGGTAACTTTTGTCATGAAAGCGATGGCAGCAAATTCCATCCTGTAGTACATCTGTCGCACAGCCTTTTGATAAAGCCAGGTCTTTGACAGAAAATTATGAAATAAGTCAACAACGACCGATGGGGATATAATATAACATACGTTGTCGGAGATTAATAATTAGTAGAAACCTTATTCCTTTATTTCAGAATGTAAACAAAGAGAATTGTCCAGGTTATGTATTCTTGCAAAATATAAAGCAATAAATAAGGTAATCAAATGAAACGCCGTCCGTAAACAGGAAATCTTTCTTGGAATCAAAGTAGGGATTTAACCACTTCCTCTGGCTCAATACACAAATGCTTTGTTTTTTCGTCTAGGATATTACTAATGTTTTCTTGACGCATATCTAGCTACTTAAAGAAAATTTTAATTTTTCTTCATTAAACTGATGATAATAATAATAAAAATAAAAGGCTTAGCGAACCAAAAGGTTCGATGATGATACCTTCGTTAAATTTATATAATTAGATATTTAGTTTAGCGTAAATCGGTTATATAATCAACTCAAGGAAGACACAAGAATAGATCTTTTTTATGCTAAATTACAAAATAGATTTTTTATTTTTTTTTTTTATTTTAACTTGTTCATTGAAAAACATTACAATCTGTCTCAAAGGAGAAGATTTGTTTTAGAGCAAAATCGAAAAAAAGATCCATTTTAGTGCCAAATTTCAAAATAGATCAAAAAGATCTTATTGGATTTTGCATTTTAAATGTCTACTCAAGATAGTATAGATCTATTGAAGATATAAATATAGGTATAAAAGGAGACAAGGGCCTGTCAGGTATGGGTCTCAAGAGTTAGCTGCTTAGGTCGTAAAAAAAATTCCCATAATATCCAAACAAAAAATTACGTAATGTCTCATAGAAAGATCGCGAGATAATTTGAAAATAGAGTTGCATCACTGAGCACATCGCAATTTCAAGAGAAAAGCCCGACAGGCTCTCGACTCATATGCGAGTCCACCGTCGTTAAAGGGTTAATACATATATTAAATTGTGTTTTTAATTATAACTAATTATGTCTGATCTGTGTTTAAGAAGAATTTTTTTTCTTAAGAATCCTGACTTTCACTTTTTTAGTCTTCTAGAAGCTAACTTCTAGAGTTTCTAAGAAATAGTGTTTTAACTAAGTTCATATTTATTTGGCATTGTATAACTTTTTCTGCTGCATAAAAATCGGGCTCTGGTCATAATATTGGCTGGCGCAAAAACTGTTACTATGCTCGATCTAGGATGATAAATTTCAACTTTGCTGTGTAGACTACCATCTTTCAAAACATAAATACATATGTTTATATAATTCAAAAGATAGAGGACGAAGTTAGTAGGTGTACATGTGGGGAATCCCACATAATCTTTTGATAAGTCGTAAGTGATGCAATATTATCATCATAGGTGGCGTAGGTGGTTTTTTGGTGGTCAGTTATGTTATCATTATATACTAGTGATATTACTGTAATTTTTCTGATGGGGAAATCTAATTAAACCCCGATAATAGAAAAGAAAAGCCGAATACAAAAATAAATTTCATTTTCCTAGCCTTACATGTAGAAACTAACGTTGTTCTTTAAACTATTTTGCTCTCATTTTCATACACCTAAACCAATTTCTTTTTGTCATCTTATCTTACTCCAATATTGGAATATGTTCAAGTTTTGGAGGTATGAGCTCAAATTCACGCTCCAAGAAGAAAAAAAAACTGTCTAGATTTAATGTAAGGTGAAAAGGTCGAAACACCGTATTAACATCACATCAATAAAATAAATTTCAGTGCTATAACGACTTTCTTTATAGTTAGATGGAAACCAAATACTCAATAACCCACAAATCTCAGTTTTATTTAACTGCGAGACTGCAAGACTCGTGCAGGTCAGTCTTGGTCTTGCGCAAGACTTGGAGGGTCCGGTCTTGGTCTTGGTCTTGTGAAAATCAAAGCAGTCTTGGTCTTGGTCTTGCAAAAGTGCAAGGCCGAGACCAAGACCGCAAGACCAAGACCATTTTTGGCCAACACTACTCACCAGACCTATCTCCAAGTGACTACCACTTATACCGGTATCTGCAGAACTCCATGAATGGAAACAAATTCCAAAAAGAAGAGGACATCAAACACAACTTAGATCAGATTTTTAACAATAAACTTCAGACATTCTATCAACATGGCATTATGCAGTTAGTGGAAAGATGGGAAACAGTCATATTAAATAATTTTTAATATATTGTAGATTGAAATAAATATCTATAATACATTGAGTTTTATTTCACCCTGAAAAACCGAAAGAACTAATTTGCGAACCCATATTATTTTTTTTAAATTAATACTCGGAGGCGAATTTCATTATTTTTTTCTTTAGGAGTGAATTACGATTCTATTCCAGTTTTGAATTTTTCGTTTTCAATTTAATCTAAATTAAAATATACAGTGTTAACAAAAAAACATATAGTGAGATGAAAATTCCAACCATATGGTAATGTATTTCGCATTAGAAATCAACTGTAAAACACCGTTATAAATCGGAACAAGATTTCTACACATGACTAGAAAAAGCAATTACATTTCAATTTAAAAGTTCTCAATTGAGGAATTTCTAACAATACGAGAAATATTCGGAAGAAAAAACAACAGCAAATCAATTCGAACGAATACCGAAACAGATTGGTTAAATTGTTCATTTCTAACTAGTTCTCTCTCCCTCTCGTTTTTAATTTTCATTGGAAGCTCATAGGTATCACATTTAATAAAATGTAAAATTAAGTTGTTTTTATTTTATTTATTGTTTTCTCGAAGCGCATAAAGTATCTATTTGGCATAACTTAAATTTATTGACTGGTTGTCTCGTGCGAATAACTCGCGTAGCATGTTGGATGTTGTAGCATGAAACAAATGAATAAATAACAATGAAATAAGTTAATGCAACGTATCAAAAGATGGTGGAATCAATTTTCTTTTAACTCAGTAATTGTTATTGACCAAGGAAAAGAAAATTAATCTAAAACCATTCATGTTTTAAGCCAGCATTACACTTTGCTTTCCATTACATTCGTGTGTTCAAATTTAAATATGTTGTATTTTCCAAAACAAAGGTTCGACTACTTTGATGATTTATTTTTTTTATTTTTTTTTGTTTAATTAAAAAGAGAAAATAAAATTCGTGAGGGGGTTCATTTCCAACTAGTTCTCTCCCCCTTTCGTTTTTAATTTTTATTAGAAGATCATCGGTTTTATATATTCATAGCCGTTTAAAATAATCATGGGTCCGATCAACCATAAAATTTTTTGAGTTATTCGCAAATAAATTTTCTTTTCCCTCTTACCCTGAATTTCGGGGTGGTGTGACTATTTTTCCTGGAAATGTTCAAAATTATGGCTGAATCATTGGATTTTATAAGAAATTTACGAACTTATGTCATTCCGACAAAAAAAAACAACGTTGAGAAATTTTAAATAAACTTCTCCTCTCTCATATGACATACTAAAGGTATCACATGGCAAAACTTCAAGTTATCTGGGTCTTCTGAAGGGCGCCCAGATGTTCCGCATCAGAATCTTAAAAACAAAATTATTCTAACTTATCAACAAACAAACAACCAAATAAACAAATCAACTTACTTAACACATATATACCATTGTGCCAGCATTGAAACTTATAAAATATTTATATCGTCATTATTTAGTTTTGAAAAAAAAAAAAATAGAGAATGCGGTTCGCTAACCTCTCATGAAATGGTGAATCCAATTGTACTCCATTTATGGTATTTGAAGTTGACAGGTCCTGATATTTGAAAGAAAACTGATTTCGAGCTTTAGTGAAATAATATATGTATGGATATTTATGAAAGTAATGAAAAAAGTTTTTAGGTTACTGATTCCAATGAGTGTTGGAAATATGTTATTTCGATAAATTTTCTCGCTGAAATAAGCAAGGTGGGATTTCGATGGAATATTCTTCTTATGTGACTTGATTTTTAAAAGAGAGTCGAATCTCTAATTTTTAGTACGCCGAAGGGAGTCGTTACAGTAATTTGCACCCAAGCCTCGATTCTATTCATGGTAATAATTTCACATCAATGAAATATAATGAAGAATTTCCTTTTGAATTAATTCCGAAAGTAGTGATATAAATTAGCGGTCCCGGAGACCGTAAGATAAAGAGGGAAGAGACAAAGGGAGCCGGTGAAAGTGATTACACAGTTTTCCACTCGGAGCGGTCGCCTTCCACAACTAATTCCCTCACTCGGACAATGGGATCTCCTCGCCCCGACCAGCTCCTCTCCCTTATCTTCCTGTGAAACCTTTTAGTCCCCGTGGCCATGCCATAACTTTCCTACGTCAATAGTTCATACCCACACTGACCTAAAAGTCCCTACGGCAAAGACAACCAACAATATTTGAGGAGAATGAGTGACCAAAAGTGTATAATTAGCGCCACAAAATTATATTTCATTGTAGTTCCATCCCCATCCCTTATCCATATTCCTTCCTTCCCCCTCCCTATTTTTATTTTTATGTTTAATTTTTATTTATTTTATATATTTATCATTAAACGAGCGGAGGGCCCTCAACTCCAAACACCTTAACAAGAGCTTAAGTGGGCAGGAAGAGATATCATTTCTCAATTATTACAAAGCACCTTCAAATACCACAGGTAGAAAAAGGTTAAGGTAATTCAGAGTATCGTTCCATTAGTATGTTGGTCCGAATATGACACTTATATCATGTTTTATTTTTTTTATTTCATTGTAGTTCATTATTGTAGAAGGAATAATTTACTCAGCTTGCCTTAAAACGGCAAAGGGGGATATTTTCACGGCCTTCGAGCAGTGCTTGTACACGATGTTTAGTAATTCACTCTAGCCAAGAAAAGTTTGTCTCTGCTTGAATATTTACTTTAGCTTTCCTGTATATGAAATATTTATTAATGGTAAGGATTGCGATCGTAAAATTTTTCAAATCCGAGGTTTTCACGGAAATACACGTTTTGAACTTTTTTTATTTCAGGCAAACAAAATTTGTCATAATTGGGTCGAGGACTTAGGGGCTGAGGTTCAAAGAGAGGGGTGAGTAAAAAAGAGAGTTAATTATTTAAATTAAACCATATCAAAGGTACTTTTGAAGAAGACGTATATGAACATTGGGCATTTAAGCCCTATAAAGTAACATAAATAAGACCTAAATGATATTAAAGACCACCTAATTATACCATGATACACCGAGTTAATCAAAATCGTTAGAGCCGTTTTTAAGAAAATTCTAAAAATGTGGTTCATCCTTGATATAAAATGGCACTTCTGTTTAGCCGATTTTAAGGAAAAAGTTGGGAAAAGTATAAACATATACTTAAATACGTAATATCAGTATCGTACGACTTTCGTTTTTGAGCTAGACTGTTACACACACAGAAAATTTTGTGGAACTTGATTATTGATTATTTATTATACTTAAGAGACCTCAAAACGTGTATTTCTGTTGAAAGAAGATTCGAAAATTTTCGAAATGATTGCAATATTATTTTCCCTTACTACATTATCACATATATAGCTAAGTGAAAGTAAGGGGGGAGGGTGGGGGTTGGCCGAACGGGCTAACGCGTTGTGCACAGCACCACTGTTGACCGGCAACCTGATATATGATAAATGATACAAAAATAGTCATGTGTTCGCGTCCCCGTGCCAAGTCGTCTTTAAAAAAAATAAAATAAACAAATAAATAAAAGGTAAGTGAAACAAAAAAACTGTTTATTAGAAGACAACGAATTTAGGAAATAATAATATTTGTTAATAACTGTTATTTCTTAAATTATTTATTTCATTCACTTGCTATCTTATATGCCATAGTCGGCAATGAGTAAAAAAAAGTTCAAACAGTAACACCTTTTTTTGACGGGAGAGCATAGCTTAATGATCTGGTACGAACACTGCTCCAAGACCGAAAAACATAAATATTTAATTACATGCTTTCATAATCAAGTTAACATATCAGCTCTCGTATAAATATCAACTGTTCTCAACTTGAATTGATACCTTCAAAAATGACTATTTTATGACATTAATTATACAGTTCTGATCACTTTGTGCTAAAATTGCAAAAATAGAACCAAATGGTAACTCATAGATAAATTAAACTACGAAAAAACCCGCCTTTGTTTAATTATTTAAGTTGGCAATTTTGTCTTCCATATCGCTTTTTTGAAATGAAAATAACCTTCTAATTTCATTTGCATGAATAATTCTAACTCTTGATGACAGTCGCCTATCAAACAGGATAGCTCTATTTATAGTATCGTCAACGGAATTCATTACATTTTATCCTATTCATTCCCTAGAATGTCACGGCTACTTCACTAGGAATAACAAATAACCCACCCTACCTTTTGACAACAGACTTCTGCTCATAAATTATGAAGAACCAATAGAAATTAGACCAATTGGAAAAAAAATTGTGAATAAATATTGACATCAATATTTAAAAGTAACAAATAGATAGTTATTCGATCATTAAATATCTTACACTAAGATTGTTTACAAGGTTAACTCTAGTACTTACAATTTGATAATTTGATCATTTTTTTATTGCATTACTTTCCGTCAGGGCTCTTTGAAATACCTCTGAGGGCTGGATGCCGCCCGCAAGCACTTCCAGTCAAGCCCGCAACAATTTCTTTAGATTTATTGTAACATTTTAAAAATATTAAATTTAGAAAAAAACACTTCCATTTAGAAATAATAGAAAAACACAAGGTTACTACAACTTTCAGAACATGATTCGTTTCTCTTAGAAAGCTCTTTTCACAACTTGAGTGCCATTAAATAGAATTTTCACAAGCAATGGCCCACGTGATTTAAGGGAATTCTCAATGTGGCCCGCGGGCCAAAAAGATCAGAGATCCCTGAATTAAATCATTCGACAAATATTTTATGTTGTTCATCTCAAAATGGAATTGCTTATTGCAGAACAATAAAATAATTACTAAGTGATAATGTTTAAATTTGTTTAAGTTGAATGATAGGTCTTAGAAGAAATAGCTGTCTATTTTAAACTTTATGAATTTCCTAGCTAACGACCATTCCTGATAAAAAGAACCAAAAGACTCGGAGACCGAGGTTGAAGAAAGATAGATCTCGATTGGTATGATTTTAGAGATAGACAGAAAGGATTAATAAGTAAACTTGCCGGAGGTATTTCTCCATCAATTACCAATACCAATAGTATGACTTATAGGCTAAGTTAGAGGAGAAATGTAACACTTTAAACTAAGCTATCATGATGATAACGAAAAATCACTAAAAGGAGAAAAAATTAAAATAAAGGGGGTCCCAAAATTAACGCAAGATTTAAATTAAATATAAAACAGTTCTTCCTTCTTTTGATTTATTTTTCTTTATCAATTTAAAAGCTTATAGTTTAGGGTTATTTAAAATGGAGCGTTATACGAGTTATCGTTTTTAAAAACTATATAAGTACAACGGCCACAGTTCGAAAATTTCGTACAAATTTTAAACACAAAAAGGTGATTTTAAACAAACTGGTCGTCCAAAAACAAGGAGTTCAAGTGCCAATATGAAAGAAAGAAAAGTGACCACAAGGCTTTCATTATTTTAAAAATATTTTACAACAAAGAAAACACATTTTTCGCTAGTTGTACTCCATTTTTACTAACCCTAACCTATCAGCTGTTAAATTTCCACCCAAAAAAAAGAAAACAAAAGAAGAAAGAACTGTGTTTTATAATTAATTTAAATCTTATAATAATATTGTGCGTATACAAATACCATGTTTCACAAGATACGAGATATCATGAATATCTATCTATATCATGAAATCTAACATGACGTTAAATTTTTATTACAAATTATTACTTAATTACATACGCTTTGAATTTAAACACAAAATATGAAGCTAATTTATTTCTCAATTGAAATTAAATAAATACAGTTTCAAGAAATGCTCATTAATGAAATAATTAACTGCCAATTAATAACTGGAACATGTGTAGACATTTGACATGAGATAATATTTGCTTTAAAACCAATTTTCATCATCAACGATCCGATAAAAGCGTAAGTCAACATAAGGAAATAATTTATGAATATTACTTGAATAAATTCAATTCTGTTTTAGAACAGAAGTTATATAAAATATAATGGCGAAGTCTAAAAAAATAAAAAATACAGTGTGTGCTTTAGACCACGATGGAAGTGAACAGATCAACAAGGTGGGATTAATAATAACTATAAAATAAACTATTTTTTGTTGTAAAATCACAAAATAAATGAATTTACAATATATACAATTATAATTACATATTAATTATGATTATTATAATTATAATTGTGTATAAATTACTCTAGTGAACTATGGCTGATTGTACTCACTGATCATACACTATAAAAGACACAATAGACTTATGATAACTAAAATACGGGATGAATCCTTTTGATTGACATCTATTTGCTAAGTATCTATCAAAAGCTCCGTAATTTTTTTACTTTACTTACCTATATACGCTGTCTTTTGGGAGAGATTGTAATATTTTTTTAATAACAAGTTCTAAAGAAAACTATGAAATACGTAATATGATAGTAAGGGAAAGAATTGAGATAGTGAAAATTTTCGAATCTGAGTTGTCAACAGAAGCACGCGTTTTGAAGTCCTGTGAGTCCAATTAACCAAATCCCTCAAAATCGTCTGTAAGTGTGAACAGTCTAGCTGAAAAACTAAAAGTCGTACAAATATGAACAAATATATTTAAATTAAGTATATTCCCACAATTTCGCAGCAACTTTTTAATTTTTAAGCAATAAGAGATTGAATTCCAAATAATGATTTGAGTAAAATACTTGTTACTCGGTACTCAGAGTATCATTTACCCATCTCTGTTGAACATACAGATATACCTTCAAATCTTTCTAGGCTTATATATGTAGCTCAGAGACTGGAGATGTGTGGTTTACAAAAACAAATGGAGTAATAAGATATTTATTGATATATTAATAGATATTTCGTTATTTTAATGGTCATTATGATTTATTAACTGTAACATTTAAGCTCCGTTAAAAATGCACTTAAAAATTTATATGGTAGCCCAACATTTGCCAGAAATTAATTTCTATTCAAAGTAGAGTTGTAAGTGGAAGTTGTGTGTTGCGTGCAACAGATTTTAAATATAACTTCTGTAACAGAGATCAGTAATTTGTCGAAACTCTATTAAGTGCAACAGAAAATTATGAACCACATTCCTATTTCTTATTTTTATGGCTAGTTAAAAAATATCTATATTAAATTCAGCAAATTGATTTCTGAATTATCCATGATATTTAAACTTTGAGATATTTTAGTCCAAATATTCAATTCAGTCGTTAATATTTGTTTTTTCGGCGCTATCTTTTTATCTTTCAGACTCTTTAGCTTGGTGTCTCGTCTTTTGATTCGTAACTCATTGTAAAGAGGATGAAATACTGAAAATTTTCTTCGCTTACAGTGTTTTAGTTCCGAAGATATTTTAATCTATGTGTTCAACTAAACACATTTTGATTAAAATTAATACATTTTTTTACTCCAATAACTGCTCCATTATACCTTATATTAAAACGAAGAATATTGATTAACATGGGTAACAATGTTATAAATGATCTAACATTCGACCAAAATATAAATACAAAACAGGTGGAATGGGTTGTCAACAAGAACAGAATTTCGACTAATGGCTTCTCGAAAGACGCGACAAATATTTGCCATGTAAATAATTGTCCCTGTGAATTTGCTTATTGTGAAGAGGTAAGGTTATTGAGAGCTCTAGATATTTACTTAGGTGAAAGAGGGTGTCACTACCGCATTGCCGGGAGAAAGTAGCGCATCTTGTCGGCTATCTTATCTTTCCTCTGCCCCTCCTGCTATGCGCAACCTATCGGGGGAACCCAATCGTCTTTTTAATAATATCTTTAAAAGTACAGTAAGTATTAATACAGATTTTATAAATTGTGTATTAATAAGAGCAATGTACGTCAGTTTTCTTAATATTTGCATTTATTAACATGTAAAGAGTTACTGTATTTCAGTGAAAAGATAAGCTGAAAGATCTCCCGTTAAAAAGCTAGGATAATAACCATAAAATTGAATAACATTTCGAATAATATAAAATAACAAGTTTCTCTTTGCCAATATGTATTTGTTAGCCAATGATATTGATATTATGATCAAGTAAAGAAACTAAGTACAATAAATAGTGTGATTAATAAAAAACAAAAAAATAATAAACTATAAAAAACAAATTATATCATTTAACTGGGGGAAAAAAACTAAGAAAATAGACTTATCCACCATAAAAAAATGTATATATGCACGTCTTTGCAAGACCAAGACCAGGACTGGCAAAAAGAATCAATTTTTTAAATAAAAATTAAGGCAAAATAGTTAATAATACTTGACAATTTTAGTTGCGTTAATAATTGGTATAACCAAAATACTTTTGCATTTAACTCTTCTAATTTTTCATTCGGGCTTAATTAGGTTTCTCCTATCTAAAAAATTACAGTAATATCTCTATAATAATAAGCTAATAAGTAGCTGCAAGACTGTTGCGAGACTCTTGCGCAAGACCAAGACTGAGTTTGCAAGACCATGAATCATCTTTGTCTCGCATTTGGACAACACTAATAGGGATGTAAGGCTACATCCACACTATATATCGTCGGTTCGTTGCAAAAAGTCACGAAGTGCATTTTTGCACATAAGTTAGCTTTCAAATATTTTTTTGTGAATTTTAATCTTATTTATCAATAAAAATATATATAGTTTCAGCGAGTGCATTACTTTTTGATTTCACAAAGAAAAAATTCATCAAAATTCTTAATTATTTGAAATTATGAAATGTCACTTAATGACTTTTTGCAATATTCCGACAATATACAAAAAATATAAATATATAAGATAGACAGAATCGAATTACCATCTAAATAATAGACAAAAATAATATACAAGAAATACAAATAAAATAGCTTAAGCATAAGTGAATAAAAAAACAAAAACAAAAAAAAAAAACAGACGTACTTATAGCATTATTTACAATCCAGTGAGGGAATTCCAAGCCAGGCTTCTCCCTCCAAATATTGAGGGAAAAGCAGGACTCCAGGGGATCCCTGAGCTACTCTCTTTAGCAAGTCACTGGTGCTAAAGCCAGAAAGGCAATATTACATAATAAATTTAAATATTAAATAAATAAATAATAAAAAAATGGTGATCCTACTCACGGAACGAATCTCGAATTTCGGATGTTGACTTACACCAACTGATGGAACCAATTCAAAAGTTCTTAGATGTCAATTTCTCTCACTATTTACCAAGATATTTAGGTAGATATGCAAGTACATTTCCTTAGGACGAAACGGGTCATTTTCTTAGTCATTATTTTTGTAAATTAAATGAAATTGTTTTTTTTTTTTTTTCAAATATTGGCAATTTATACTCATACCATATAAATACTATCTGACACATTATATGAAAGCAAAAAAACAACTGAGACTCGTAAAAATATAATAAAATATTTCATTATTTTCAGGTTATATTCAAAACATTCACAAATCTCAATGAGTAATTTGAACCTTCAAACTTGAAAATCGGACGAGCCATTCTCTCAAAAAAATTTTACAAACTATTTAACGGCCAAGTTTCGGAACAATTACATTACAAAAGTAAATAATTATAAAATAAAATGCAATACTATCAGGGATTTTTTTTAATTTTGAGTTAGTTTAAGTGTGTATTAGCGTAACAATAATAATGTAATTATTTTGAGTGATTTCACCTAACATTGCTCTCAGAAATAATTTATTTCTGGATTTTCAGCTATCTTAGTTCTAACAGCACAAATAATCCAACTCCACTTCGCGTTTAAATTAAGGTGGGTCTCATAAAATTGAGCATTAGTCATGACAAAAACGTTGTGAACATAACAAATGATTGTAATTGTATCCCTTCCCCCTCCCGCTGGTTTATGGTTTCCAGGAAAGTAATTATAACTTCTGTTACATCCATCGTTTTTGCCCCGGGAGGGTAGTGGATGGGGGTGGAAGAGTTGCAGCAATCATGATATCGGTAATTAATGTCATTAGCAAATTCCTGAATTGAACATCTCGCTAAATAGATTTCGAACATATTGCAGAAACCATAAATACTTATTTTAAATATAAAAACGAAAACTTTTTTTTCACTCCACACAAAACATCTTCTTTCTCATTAATTATTCTGTTAATCTTACGGCTTGTAAAAGTCCTTAAACATTTCAATTTGTATACATGTTAACTATGAAAAAATATTTTTAACAATAAAATATCCACTCTGAAAAGTGAAAACCACTTCTTTCAGGTTAAAAGAATATTTAGTATGTTAAATAATTTGAATTAAAAAAAAAAATTGTCAAAGCAAAGTTTGTAGTCTTTTCACATATGCTTTTTTATGATTCAGATTCTGAGTGTATCTCAATTAGTGCATTTGCTTCTAGGCGCTATTTTTGAAAATGTCAGAGTTTGACACTCAGCGTCGAATCAAGGTTCAATTCTTGAGGGCGCAATCTTGTAGCCTCAAGACTTCGTTGAGGTGAGGCTCATTATGGCTTCTTCATTATGGCTGCGACGAGCACCATATCTGGTGTAAGTCATTCGTAAAGTCTTATCACTTAGTTCATTGTTTTGACAAATAGCAAACTGCAGAACAATCTTTAATTTTTGGGTGACTCAATTCTAGATACCCTTTCCCTTTTGACTTTGCCCGGCAAAAATTCTTTACCAAATTCTTGAAGTTACAAGGTCTCGGTCGGAGTCATATATTTGCCTCTACAGAATCGCACATCCATAAGTTTGTCTTTTTGGTTACAGGTCACCCGATAGTTTTTCTCATCATGAGAATTTAACTACGAAGGGAATAATAAGTGCTACCAACGACTAGACCTTATGAGGCAAGGAAGTTGACCCTTCTGATTCGCTTCTTATTTGTGACTTTATTTATAGAAAGTTTGTCGATGTTGTTTGTTTAAGCAGTTTATTAGAAAATGGATAAATCAGTTAGATACCATATTGGATAAAATACCATAATTTTGTTGATTTATTTCATAACCCAGAAACTACAACATTTCAAACATTTCCATGATGAAATATGCAGCTTTACTCTTAAAAAACCGACACAGAAATTTTAATAATAGAAACTTATTTTTTGGCGCAAATAGCTACTCTTCAACTCTAAGTATTCATATCAAAAATTATTATCAGAACAGCTTGTTTATTTTGAAATCCATTATTTTATAATATTTCGGCGGACGAACTAATCAACATTTCAAAATGGAATACAGTTGTCTCTCGATGATTTGAAATATAAGGGACTACAAGAAAAAATCGAATCATCGAGACTTCAAGCTATGAAGAAGTTTGAATTATCAAGAGAAAATAAAATAAAATCGAACTATTAAGAATTTTTATTATATTTTACAAAATATGTATGTGCTGAAATATTTATTTATTTATTTGATTTTTTTTTTTTTGCCTCTACCCTGTAGGGTCATTGGCAACACCTTTGAATTACACTCTGTTGAATTTTTCAATCAGGTAAACTTTATTTATATAATGATCATAATTATGGTCAATGTATTAAAAGCTATATTTCATTTTTTCATGATTTTTATTTATTCATATATATATATATATATATATGGGTGTCATGTGCATAGGTTAGAGACTCCTTATTCAATTTCAATTTTATTACGTACCTAATAAAAATATGTCTGTAAAAATATTGGGGTGTTTCTGGTGAGATTGTGCTATTAATTTATATTGATTCATGATTTTTAAATAATTTGATAAATCTATTTTATATGAACTATTAAAAACTATCTAACTAACGAAAGTTGCTTATGGTCGTAAAATATTTCCGGTTCAAACTACGGACTGTTATGGTAGAAATACAGCTAAATCAAATATCTAAAGAAATTCGGAGCCCAGAATAAAAAGGAAGATATTTTCATTTCAATCTGGAGTTTATGCAGATTAAATAAAAAACTTTACCAACCCCTTAATTTTCTTTATTGTTTTAGACATTTAAAGTACCAAACCACCAACTTCCCCTCTAGAAAAACACCGTAATTCAATATAAGGCTCTTGAATTGTTTATTTAGGATAGTGATTAGGTATACCCTAATTTTAGTCCTTCAAGCTTGCTTGGAAGAAACGTTTCAAATTATTTCAAGGAATGAACATTAGAATTTTCAATCTTAAATACAAAATATTAAAAATGTGAATATTGGTCTGTATGATGTACTTTTTAAATTGTATAAACATTATAATAATATCATAATAATGTTAGAATAATTAGTATTGTTATATAAGGATTATTTTAAAATATATTTTTTATTGATAAGTTTAAATTGAATACACAATCTTATTTATTATTTAATTGTAACAGCATAAACGTTAATTTGTGTTACAAGCTTCATCAATTGTGATACAAACTTTATCAACTTATATAGCATAAGTATGTATCATTCGTTTTTAAAAATTGTTATAAAATGATACTTTTAATATACTAACTTAATTTTCAAAAAGAGAAATGAAACCAGATAATAGTGTTAAATAAAAAGTTTCTACTGAACATTTAAAATTCAGAATTTCTGTTATGTATATTTTTTGCAACAAATAGGTATATTAAATTTATTTATTGGTCTCTGCCGCGCAGGAGTAACTAAGTTCTAGAATTTTTTTTTTAATTTTAAAGATTCGAAAGTTTTTTCCGCCTCTTGATCGAAGTTATGTAAATTTTCGTCAAACCTTATTTATATCATCATTAATGACCTATATGGAACAGTATCACCTGCTTTCTGTTTGTAGAACATTGTAACTACCACAGTTTGGAAGTTTAAGTCCTCTTAATAAGTAAGCATGTGAAAGTTCACAATGTCCAATCCTTAACTTGTAGAGGAAAGTTCCTTCTTCTCTAGATCGTCTGTTTGTGGTTTTCCATTTGGAGCAATGTCTCCTTATCTCTTTTTGTTGTATTATTTTTAAGATGTCTTCTTCATGGACTTCATAGATTATTGACATTCTTTCCATATGATCCCGCATATTCAGGTGATCCCACAGGGTGATGGTACCTCCTGAATAAATAAAATTAAAAAATGGTTATCGAGATGAACACTATTTCCTTGCCCTTTTTCATCAAATGTGCCTTATTTCTCCTGCCAGAGTACTTTTGTTTTCTTTTATACTGCGAATTGTTTTTTTTAAAACGTTGACAAATTCTAATTTTATAATTAATTATTTTTATGAAATAATAAGCTACGAAAATATGGCACCTTACTCACAGTTGCTATCCTAGACCAGAATACTAACTATAAATATCTCGTCGGTCCGGCAGTGAACCGGCTAAATTAAACTCGAAAATTTCTTATTTAATTTAGGATAAATAAATTTTAATATTACTAAAATAACTTTTTTTCTCATCATATATATATATTCTAAATACTAACGTTGAGAAAACATTTCAGGGTCATGAAAGATCAAACAGAAGTGGGATAGAATTAATTTTCATCTAATCGAATAGACCATGATTTTTTTAGGTCATTGGACCAACATTGTTAAATAAGCGTTGCCTGACAATCTCCTCAACCTAACATTATGAATTTTAATTTGGGTGCGAGAGGGATTGTTAACTGTGGCATTATTAATCCTCCGACCTCTCCCTTGGCCCGGCAGAAAAAACGAAAATGCGAGGAAGGAAAGGAAAAGAAAAAATTGATTATGATTTTCTATTGAATGTAGTAAGTCTTTAGATTGAAAGAGTCCAAAACGTTTGAACTAATCAGATTTTGAGAATTTTTTTTTGTTGCGACACGTATATCTCATAACGCCTTAAGTAGTTGGAAAAGAAAAGCAAAATATAAATTTATTCTGTCCATTATACCCAGATTTGGTTTCTTGAGCTTTTCATTTTTATAAATTAAGGCCTTTATTCCACCAACATTTTATTTATTTTTTATTTTATCTCGACAATGTTACGGCCAACACAATGGCCATTTTCAAGTCTTAATTAAGTTTCCCACTAAATCTCCATATTTCTGAGAACAATTAAAAATGTTCAAAGAGAGGAACTCCACAGATGACTTAGGGGGAAAACCCTAAAATATTAGAACATTTTTAATTGTTTTCAGAAATATGAAAATTACATTGAATATTGAGATTTAGTGGAGGAATCAATTAAGACTTGAAAGTGGCCCTAGTGTTGATCGAAACGTAGTCGAGATAAAATAAATGTAAAATGTTAGTTGAATAACGGCCATAATTTATATAAATGAAAAATAAAATCTAAAAGTTGCTGAAATCAGAATTCAATTTTAGGATTTAAAAATATGTTATATGAAGTACAATAAGCCCTGTAATGTTGAGTATAAGGTGACTTGAATCAGAAATAGCTTTAAAGTTTACTATAAAAAAAATACAAACATTCATTAACAAACTTTTTCCTCCTCGAGTTCTTTGATAACCTTACTTAGGAAATTAGGACTTGATCTCCATCTTAATTTTTAATTAAACTTAATAATGCTTCTAAAACAACCATCATTCGTTAATAGCTTTCCATACTGATACTACCGATACTACTTCTACGTTTTTGTTTGCTGAAGAATTACAGAAAGAGTTATACGTTTCTTCTATTGTATTTAGTTTCTTAAAATCAGTCTTTAATTATCATTTCCGTTAATATTAAAAAAACACATTTTAATAAAATAATATTGTTCAAAGTTTCAAAATTGCAAAGATTAAAGATTTAAGATATTCAATTACGTTTCCGTGGAGAGGAAATATGGGTCTTAGGGATAATTCTTCCAGGCCTCCTCAAATATTAAATTTACCATTAATACTCAATTGAATACTTTTATAAATTATGCAACAAAACTATTATGTGAAGATATTTTATAATATATTTAATTAATTCTAAACTTTTCTTTAATTTGAATTTAGATGATTTAGATGAATTTAATTTAATTTGCCCTGATCCCTTCTCGTCGGCCCTGGTTTAATATTTGTGATTGAGGTTTTTAATTAAATTATTTAAAACTTTAAGATTTCTTCTTATTATTATTGTTACTATTTTATAAACATAGTTTATCGAAATATAACAAATTAATCGTTTATAAAAGAGAAAAATAACAGAAAAAACATGAAATTATTCGTTTATACGCTAGTCAATTCAATTATCTATTTTTTTAATCAAATTGAAATTGCAGCCATCACATCAGCTTATTGTTACAACCTGTGGCACGTGTATATTTTAAAAATTTAATGTTAAACAAACAATTTCAGTGTTCTTGTTGTCTATAGTTTAATGTAGAATAAATTGATTTAGTGCAGGATATAACTCATTAAATATCCCCGAAAATATACGTTATTACAATAAATCAGGGCTTGAATATCTTGAAAAAAATGTATATATATATACCTTTTTTTTTTCATTGGCTCTACAGACCTTGTAGATCTTAGGCCACCTGAACCAGCCTTCTCCACCTCTGCCTATCTTGGGCAACTGATTTCCAGTTTGCGGCATGAAGCTCGTCCGTATCTTTGTTTATCCTATCTATCCATCTGGTTTTATGGCCTCCTACGTGGTCTCTTCAATATATGATCATAAAAAAAAAATATAATCATTTTATTACATTAACTTATTTTCTTGACTGAATTAAGGTCAAAACAATAAACAAATAACAGAAGTCGATTTTGTTTTCTATTTACTTAAAATTACAATTTCGGTCGAAAATATCGGATATCTTAATTCTGCCGAAGAGGAAGCGTCGTATTTACTCCTTGCCCACCCTTCCCTAATTTGGACTATGGATGAATGATCTGCTTTTGATCTGCTCTATAATTGCACTTAATATAAAAAAATATATATAATATTAATTGGTACAGTCATCTATCCACTCACCCATCGTAATGCTAGAGACAATTCTAAACATGGCAATACCAGTTTAAACAATCCGTTCAACCCCAAGGATCATCATAAGAGAATAAGAGTTCGCCTTTGGTAGACCGTAAGAATTCTCCCAGCAACCTTTATTTCGGTTCCCCTCACCAGCCTGCCTGAACCTGAGTCCCTCGGGTTCGGGTTCCCTGCGGGAATATAAAACCACCTCGGGTATCCAACCTTATCTTGTAGATGTTCGTAAAAGTCATTCGAATTGCTTTGTCTTACTGTATTTCTGATATTTTCACCAGTGATGCAAAAACTATTTATTTTTACCAATTTTTTGTTGTTAAATAATTCATTTCGCATAAACGAGTGTTTTTAAATACTTTTAATTTGTTTATTTTGCAATTTTGTATTCAAGAGACCGGCCGCAGCGTCAGATTCCTTTCTAACAACACCTTATATAATTAGGCATTTACTTCTCAGAACTCGAAGCATAGATCTCTATGATGTATTTTTCAGAAACGTCTTGCTAGTTTTATGTTGTAAAATATAACTGTGATGGCCTGGATCTTCTTTTGGTACATATTGTACCAAATTTGCTCGATTTTATATCTAGAGGTAAGTGAAATTTGAGTTTGACACATGTATAAACCTTGGCGTCTTATTAAATCAAAAAATTATGAATAAGAAACACAAAATTTATCCACAGGAGGTCGTCAAGAGGTTTGACGATTGTGACATGGATACCATTGTGGCATGCATACCTAATCAGTCGAAACTATTCTTAACATCTGCTAATATTGTGAAATTCTTGCCAAATCTGAAGACCGAGAAATGAATGTATTACGAGTTAGTAAAATATAAAAGTTAAGCTAATAGTAAAATTCTTCATATCATGTCATATTATGAAAGATTTTCCTAATATTTTGAAAACTTGTCGTCTAATTAAAAAAATATATTATTACTTTTAGAGAAAATAGTGTTTGCTATCATTTTATAAATTAATATGACTTTATTGAAGTACTGCTTTGCAGACAAGTAATTTATATAAAGTTCTTTTATAAAGAATAAATGAAGAAAAAATCATTAAAAGTTTTATTAAAAAACACAAACTGTTTTATATAATGGATCATATAGCACCTTCTTAATATCTGGATTTTATTTACTTGTGATCTTACCATTTTATCATCTTGAAATTCGGGATGAACCTAACCAATAAGTCTTAATCATTAGTGTATTTAAATCTAAGATGATTCGTTTTAAGATTATCAAAATTAAAAATTTTGTTAGCAATTATGAATATTTCTTGATTTGAGATAGTGATTTTACACTATGAGCCGTATAATAATAGTCTTTTAGCTTTATCGGTTGTAAATCTATGAGTATATTTGTGAAAAAATCATTGTGAATTTCGGTTTTTGCCGCAATTTTTATAAAATCTGTTCTAAAAGAAATATAATATAATTCTATTTCATTTATATATTATGTAATGTATTTAGTTGATATAAATAATATCAATACCAAAAATCAAGTATATTGTTGACATGCTCAAAATTTGTTTTTCATTAGGTTATTTGACACGGAATGACTCCCTTATGCTTTATCAAACATTTCTTGAATCAAATGATTAGTTATTAATTTCATTTCCGTCTATAAAATATATTGTTCAATAATCTATAGATATTTATTTTTTCTTTCATATTTCAAGAAAACTTAGATCTATTTAAAAATAGATGACTATAGGAAAACCACAAAATGTTCAAATGGGTGTAAAATATAAGTTTTTTTTTCCTTTAGCAATAATCCTTATTCCTTTTACTCCTATTGATTTAGAAAAAAAAATATTAATTTTTATATAGAGAAAGAAACAGGCTAAAAGAATCATTTATTTTTAAATATAAATTTGATGCTAGCTTTACTAAATAAGGAGGATGATAATTTAACATTATACTTCAATATGATGTGATATTTCAGGCACATAACAGGCTTGTAGCAGAGTTGGATGAGAAGGAGTTTGACGTGGTTGAAACTCAAAGCTTTGCCAACGAAGTGGCGTCTGCCATAGCCAAGCTGAAGGAAAAGGACGTCAGGATAGTGTTGGGAAATTTCAACGAGACATGGGCAAGAAGTATTTTCTGCGAAGCTCACAAGTAAGACGTCATAAACATATAAATTTATTCATTTAGGAAACGATGAAGATAATTATAGTGGAATAATGTGTTTTATAGATAACATTTATTAATGTTTAACATACTGCAGAGCATACTTTTTTTTTTTTTAAATATTTGATGTGTTATATTTTTCAGTCACATTTAAGTAGTAATGCTATACTTAACCAAATATATATTTAACAAATAATAATTACAATAAAACTTTTAAAAATTAAGGAAAAACATTGAAATAAACCATTCTAAATACCGCCATATTTATTAACAATATTCCAAATAAACTACACTTGCTTCCTACGTCACTCATAACTGATATTAAAAGCCTATGGCTACTACAGTAAGCATCCTTATTCAAGAACCTGATTAAACCGAAACGTCGAATAATATGAAATCATTTCTTAGCCCCGTCAAAAACAAGGTACCTATTTCCTGCCATATTTTTAAAGAAATTTTATTGCATGTGTGATTGATTTTGGTTTATTATTTTAAATAATAAACCATTATAATCGAACAAAAAATTAAAAAAAATATCCCCCTCTCAAAATTTGAGGTTTTACGTTTCAGGGATACACGGAATTCGAGAAACGAATAAAAATTTGTTTGTCTGTCCACCATCCGCCGTCCGCGCATTTTCTCCGAAACTACTGGACCGATTATTTTTCAAATTTAGAAATAAAATCAGAGGTCACCCGAAGATGATCCTCCTTCATCGACATTACTATACGCCTTATACTTTTTAAGTGGCGACCGAAAAACCTGTGTTGCTACAGACTTTAGTGCCTAAACGAGTGTACCGATTTCAATGAAACTTGGCTAAAGTCTTTTCTTGATGCTCTTTAAATTTATCTATGTGACATATTTCAACGAAAAAAAGCTGGAAAAAAAGTTACTTGAGATTTTTTTTTTTTTTTTTTAACCAAATTTACAACTGTAATTAATAATAAATACAACAAGTAAATATGAACGAGTAATATGACATGTACAACATGAGGAGAAACTACCCATTGGTAGCATTTCCAATTATATTTCTATATTAGAAGGTCCCGAGGCCATCTTATTCAGATGGTAAAATTAGATTCGGAATAACTCAAAAAGCATTCACTTTTTTGGTGATATTGTGATAAAAAGTATGAAAGGTATTTAAAATTCTTAAAAATCGAAGAAAGTATCATCGAAATCAGAACACTATTAGTGAAGATATTGCGATTTTTAAATATTTTTGGTTTATTATTTTCAATAATGAACCATTATAATCGAAACAAAAATTCAAAAAGTTAACCTCTCTCAAAATTTGAAGTTTTACGTTTCAGGATACGCATAACTTTAAAAAACGAATAAAATTTTTTTTTGCATCTAAAATGAAGTTCTACAATGCTGTTCGTAATAAAAACGGATATCTATATATATATATATATATTTGAAGGTCAATTCGTCCAGCTTTTAAAATATTTGATGCCGGCATCAAATTAGTGGCCATTTGGCCATTTGCATGGCCGGTTTAAGACAAACTTGTTTCTGTTAAACGTGATTTTATTTAACAATTTATTTATTTTTTAATCCGACCAAGGAGAATCCACTAGGAGGGTAACGAATTTATCCTAACCGTTTTAGGCACGTAACGATTTTTCTCACCGAATTTATGTCTACGAAGAACTATTGTATTCTATTTATATTCTCGGGGCTACCACATTTTCAACTTAGTGGGGCTTCTAGGCATATTAAAATATTTCATTTCTATTGATTTTTATCAAAGGCATGGATGATAAAAAACCATAAAAAGAAATACGCGACCAAATTGTTGATATAAAAAAGGGTCAGAGAGGAAAGGTTGAGAAACATTGCTCAAGACCACGTTCTCCAAGACGTAGTTCTCTTAGGTTTTTTATTTTATTATTTTTTTTCAATCGAGCAACCCGTTGTTCTAGTTCCTGACGTTGGGATTAGAGGCATCCCTTTTGACAAGGGCTTTTCACTGCACTGAAGGTGGCCGGGAGCCATCATCAGACACCTGTATCTATCCATTTTAACTCTGACATTCTCATACAAGAAGACTTCTATTGCATCTCTTACTTTTTCTTAATTAATTGTTTTAACAAGATTTCCTTTTAGCATATGTTAACTACTATTTTGGCAGAGACATAAATCTTAGAAAATAGCTATTCTCTTTATTTGAAATTAACAAAATATCAAGGACATGAAACTTAATTGTCTAAATTCTGGTGTATACGGAGATCCATTTTTGTTGTATCGTTATTTATAATGGTTCGACATTTTCTAATGTTACTTTACATGATGATTAATTTTAACGTTTTTCTCAATTCGCCGTATCGCAGGTAACGTAAAAAGGACCGTAAAAATATATATATTATATTAAATATATTATAAATATAACGGGAACTTTTTTCATATGTCTATGAGTAGACATATGAAGTCAGATCTATCTTTTTCCTAATAACGTATACGTCACATATGTTTATATGAAAATAGTGGATCGTCACTATATGAACGGAGGGTCTTACTTAAGGCAACAACAAAAATAAAAATACTAAACAAATTTAGAATCATATGAAATTTGAATGGTTTTGTCCGTTTTTTACTTTCCAACCTATACTAGGTAAGGAAAGTATTGCAATCGGGTCAAATTTCCGACATGCGGTGTTCGACGGATCTATACGTTTCACAGCCCCCTGAGTCCGAAAAACACATTTTTTAATTTAAGGTAGGCTGTGAGAAGTAATTATTTATTATGTCGTGGATCGACTTTGGGATAGGTAGACCCTCCTAGGGAAGACCCAGTCTCTATGAAGAAGATAATAATTAATCAAGGAAAAAAACGTGACAAATGATGTGTTAAAATAAAGGAAAATTCGTGGAGAAGTGGCAAATCCTGCATGTGATCCTTATTACACTTTTAATAAAAATATAAGCGGCATCAATTGTCCGAAGATAATAAGCTCTTCGCCCCTCGTATACTTGTTTGAGTAGTTTCAGGCATTTTAAGAAAGTTTTTGTTTTTCCAATAGTTCCTAATATTTCATTATTTCTAACTTCTAATTAGGCGGTGCACAGTGGGACAAAGGATGGGTTTTCGTACACATGGGCCTAGAACTTGTAAATGATGTCAGATTAATTTGATATTTAGACATTTATGTTTTCAAGTCAAAGGACAACAAACATTACGTCAAAACCAAAAACTACCATTTTTTTTTTTTTTTTATATTTGTTTATTTAGAAATATTACATTCTGTCACATCAAGGACATTTATAATAGTGATCAGAGAAAGCACACTCACACTCTATTTACAATAAAAAAAATAAATAATACAGAAACTTAATAATAATAAATACAATAAAATAAAATAAAAATAAATACAATAAAATAAAATAAATGTATATAAACAAAAGAACTAACCTAATCATACACACTCGGGCTTGAGTGGAGGATCTGGCCATTGCCAAAACTCCAATAGATGCTTATTTACAAAAGGTCTCTGGGCCACTGCCGCTTCAACCTTCGAGGAGGATTGTAAGGATGGGTGGTGCTGGATAGAGATTGTGCAAGGGGATTTGGATGATAGGTAAGGTTCTGGTGAAATTTGGAGAATTTTTCTGGAATAAGGTCTAGGACAAATGGGATATTAAGGTCATGGTGTAGGATTTTGTTATTTACATAGAACGGAGCATCAACTATTGTTCGAAGGACTTTAGATTGAAAGGATTGAATACGTTTGATGTTAGAAGCTTTTGCTGTCCCCCACAGTTCAAGTCCGTATGTCCATATAGGTTTCAGTATTGTCTTGTAGATAAGTAATTTGTTTTCAATAGAAAGTTTGGATTTTCTGTTTAGTAGTCTGTATAGCTGGCCGTATCGTCGGTTGAGTTCTTGTCTTTTGAGTCTAGTATGTGGGTTCCACGTTAGTCTTCGGTCTAAATGAAAGCCAAGATACCGGACTGTGTCTGAGTAAGGAAGCTGGATGGAATTAAAGTGTACTGGTGGACAGGAACTGCGTCGGAGTGTAAAGGTAATATGTTGGCATTTAGATTCATTAACTTTAATGCGCCAGTTATTACACCAGTGCTCAATCAAGGTGAGGTGGTTTTGGAGATTTAAGGATGCTATGTTGGGATCAGAGTTGGATGATAAGATTGCGGTGTCGTCAGCGAATGTTGCAAGAAAAGTATCGGGATGAACAGGGATGTCAGCAGTAAAGAGGATGTAAAGCACGGGACCCAAGACGCTGCCTTGGGGAACACCGGCTTTAACGGAGTAGATATTGGAAAATTCTGTTCCACAGCGAACTCGGAAGGAGCGGTCAGAGAGGTAGGATCGGAGGACTAGGTACAAGGACTGAGGTAAATGGATTTTAAGCTTGAAGAGCAGTCCGGAGTGCCATACCCGGTCAAATGCCTGTGCAATGTCCAGAAATGCACCCGAACAGTATTCCTTGTTTTCTAGGGCTGAGGAAATATGATCAACAACTCGGAGTCCTTGTTGAACAGTAGAATGTTGGGAGCGAAAACCAAACTGATGGAAAGGAATATTTTGGGATTCTATAATGGGTAGGATTCGTTTCAAAAGGATCTTTTCAAAAATTTTTGAGAGGATTGGGAGTAGGCTAATTGGTCTATAGGATGTTGAGATATTGGGAGGTTTGCCTGGTTTTTGGAAAAGGATAATAGTGGAGTGTTTCCATAGCAGAGGAAAGTGGGTGGTGCGTAGGATACAATTGTAGATATATGTAAGGAATATGACTGCTTTGGATGGAAGTTGTCGAAGGATTTGAGGGGTAAGGAGATCATGTCCAGGAGCTTTACGGGGGATTAATTTTTTTAATTGAAATTTCACTTCGGAAGGATGAATAGCTTTTGGGGGCAAGGAAAGTGGGATTGGTGATGTAAGGAGTTCTTCTACTGTTACGGTGTGGGCAGGATGGGATTCCGGGTGTGAAATAAATGTATTGGATAGGTGAATGGCGAACTCCTCAG